TTTTTCCTACTATCTACTATATCAAAATCCACCCGCGAGTTCATATATTGCATGTACCAACATACACTGAATGCCTATGGGTCCCAAGGCCCAGATGCTCGACGACCGGTCAACAGCTCTGCCTCCCCACCCTCCCGCACCAGAAAGATGTCTTCGTGCCGTACCCCGAATCGATCCACCAGATACACCCCAGGTTCCGAAGTGAACGTCATGCCGGCTTGAAGGAGGGTCGCATGGTTGCCCTTGTTCAGATAGGGGCTTTCGTGGGCTATCTCGCAACATTAGCATGAGCCCGATATCACAGACAAATCTCCAGGTCCCCCACACAGACCCTGGCGACTCACCTTTGATTCCAATTCCGTGTCCAACACGATGGGTGAAGGCCTCCCCGTACCCGGCGTCCGTGATCACCTCCCGGGCAGCAATATCGACGCTGGCAGCACTGGCGTCGACCCGGAACTGCCTGATGGATTGCGTTTGAGCTTCAAAGACAATGTCCCACACCTACAGCAGTTAGCCAATTGATCTCGCTTGTACAGGTGAGGATCCAGGTATACCTCCAGCTTGTCTCTCAAACGCGTCGGGGCGGGCATATCCGGTGTCGGTGGCTCAAGGAACGGCGGGAAAAAGGTTCGACAGATATCCGATGAGTACCCAAGGAGATGGGCGCTGACCGAGGTCAGCAGTAGCTACAGTGAGACAGGCAACGGTCCTGTGTATCGACTTACCCTACATCAATCAAAACAAAAGTTTCCGGCTCAAGCACCTTCGAACCGTTGGTGCCTCCATGTGGGTTGGCGGCATTCTCGTCTACCCTCCACGGTCAGTCTTGCACCTTTGCAGCGGTCGGACACGTACCAAACAAGACAATATCAAAGAATGGCTCCAACCCAGCCGAGCGAAGGGTATTGTCCAGGGCCCTTGCGATCTCACTCTCGGTTAGACCGGGGTAGAGGCCTACTTAGTGTCAGTCCGTCCACAGTGCGACCGAGTGGGGGATCACGAACATTTGCGCATCTGCCGTACGGCTTCCACGGTCCCGGTATTCACGGCGCGGAGAATTTCCACCTCAGTGTCGGATTTGATCTGCCGGACGCGCTCCACTTCCCCCATCAGCCCGACGATTTCGAACCCTGAGTGACCGAGACCCCGTTGGATAAAGTCCCTCATTTCCTCGTCCACCATGAGTCGCGGTGCTCGATCATGTGCCGAGAAGATGACAGAATCCTTCAACGTATCGTATGGGTTCCAGTGTTCCTCCCAAGGAATGATGTCGATCGGCCCGAGAAACGGCATGTTTAGCAGTCGGGCTCGCTCCGCCTCAAATGATGGGGCTAGGAATGTTGTCTTTGCGGTAACAAGGCCCGACGAGTGACGATAAGGCTGCACCACCATAAGAAAAGGGCGTTCCTCCGGCTGAGCGATATTAGTAGACACAAGAGTTCTTGGGGAGAAAGAGCGCTCACCTCCCAGACCTCCCATTCCGGCTGGCTCACGTTGGCATAGTATTTGAACGTATACCCCGGCTCCACGACAAAGGCGTCTGCCCCATCGGCGATCAGAGCCCTCGCGAGGCGGTTCCGGCGCTCATCGAACTCCTCAACTGAGATGGGCGCAGCGGTATCCAGAAAATAGTACTTTGTTTCTCGAAGATTCTCAATTGAACATCGCTCGAAAGATTCATATGGTGTAACCGACGACGGTTGCTGGAAGGGGCTGAAGAGCGACAGTCTCTGCCTTCGAGTCAGACCCCGGCCGTCGATTCTGATGGCGATGCGTACTTACCGGGAAGAGCGCGTAGATGCTAAGCAACAGTAGACCAGCGCTGGTAAAAAAGTGCAGAATAGACCTCCGGTATTGATGCGGTGGTTGACGGAGGTGCGGTCTTTCCTCCGCCAGTGGGAGAGACTCGGTCTGCTTGTCCAGCATGATTCTGCCGAGAGGGGGAAGAATAACAAAAAATTGTTTCCAGGGGATCCAGACAATGGATTTATCGCCGTGCTTCTGCAGGAGTCGGGCGAGATCCGAGCGCCTGCAGGTCTGGAAAAGAGGGGAAGATGCGCTGAAAGGATGCTAGATGGAGATTCCCCGCCCGGCTGGATCTTCCTTGATTGGATTCTCTAGCATCTCCCTTGGCGACTCGCAGCTTATCGCCGAATGTCGCGGTTGGTCCGCCATCCAAGCTGTTCTTCATTGGGCTTATCAGAAATGTTAGTCCAGTCTCTTGCGGGACAAACGAGGCTCGGATCGGCCGACAGACGGGAGAGATAGGCAAGGTCCAGCAGAGATAAATACACGCACCTCGTCATGGCTCGATTGAGTTGAAATTAGGAAACTGCTAGGCCATTGAGGCAGACGCAGGGTTGACCGCTGAGATGGCTCGCAAAGAGGATCAAGACTCGGTACAGACGACGGGAGCAGCTCAGCCTGCCAAACAGACACAGGTGCAGATATCACCGGACGCCGCCGAAGATGTCGCTCCAGATCAAGGCCGTCCAAAGACCTCCAAACTCTCGGTCTTACTGATGATTGTGTTCTCCGGTCTGGCCATTGGCTCCGACGGTTTCAACGCATCCATCATCGGCAACCTCGAATTAGTCATGGAGGTTATCTATCCAAAAGCTCTCACCACGGCTGTCGCATCTCGTTTGTCCAACGCCTTTATGGTAGGTATGATCATTGGCATGTTGTCCTTCGGATATTTGTCCGATAAATTGGGCCGCAAGACCGGCGCGGTCTTGACCACCGTCATCCTCGTCCTAGGGATCGCTTTGAGCGCGGGTGCTAGCGGAACAGATCGAGATGGAATGTTTTGGATGTTGATTATTGCGAGAGGCATCGCTGGCGTCGGCGCGGGTGGGTGAGTTCAACTGTTATCTCAAATAATCTTGCAATTATTACTCACTCGTTTCCCAGGGAGTATCCGGTTGCCGGGGCTGGTGCTGCAGAAGCCACCGATGAAGATCTGGGTGTCCGAAACAAACGAGGCTTCATCTTTGCTATGATTGCTGACCTGTCGGCTTCCCTTGGGTTCGCCTTTGGTGCCCTAGTCCCTCTGCTTTTGCTTCTATGCTTTCACCAGGAGGTCCGTCATTATGAAGCTGTCTGGCGGATTTCACTCGCGCTGGGGGTAATTCCTCCGCTCTCTATCTTTTGGTTTCGATACCGAATGGCTGTCAGCTCGGCTTATCGCAAGAGCGCGATGCAGAAGCAAACAGTGCCCTACTGGCTGGCACTAAAGCGTTATTGGCGTCCGTTGTTAGGCACGTGCGGCTCTTGGTTCATGTAAGTAATGCAGTATACGCTATTGTCCGTTGTGATTCTAATCCTATCGCCAGTTATAACTACATCTCGTACCCGTTTGGGCTATTTTCATCAACAATTGTCGGTCGCGTGAACCCGACCTCCTCTCTCGCACTGACAATGGCCTGGGGCACGCTCATCAACTGTTTTTACATCCCCGGGGCATTCATCGGGGGCTTCCTGTCCGACCGGATTGGGCGGCGGCGGACCATGGCGCTCGGGTACTTTCTCCAGGCTGCCCTGGGCTTTATCCTGGGTGGCGCGCTGGGACCCATCGAAAAGTCGCTGCCACTCTTTATTGTGCTCTATGGCGTTTTCCTCACGCTCGGAGAGGTGGGTCCCGGATCGACGATTGTTGTGACAGCCAGTGAAAGTTTCCCGACCGCGATACGCGGGCATGCCGTGGGATTTGCAGCGGCATGGAGCAAGGCGGGGGCGGCCATTGGGACGGCGGTTTTCAAGCCTATCCTGGCCAGCTGGGGAGACGATGAGTTTCGCGGCACGCAGGCCGTGTTTCTCATTGGCTCCGGGTTCGCCGTCCTAGGGGGGCTCTTGGCCTGGTTTGTGTTCCAAGATGTGGATCACGCACTGGACAATGAGGACCAGGCTTGGAAGGACTATCTCGCTGCTAATGGCTATGGGGATGTGCAGTGGGGCATTGCAAGTAGCTCGGCGCATGAGCCGGAACCGAAGGCAGTGCAGACATAGTCTCGGAGACTCCGTGGTTACTATAGAGTTGTCCGTTTGCAGGTATGCTGCCGAGCAGTACTCGGAAGTAGCCCATCATGATTGTATATTCTCTAGCGTCTTAAGCATCCGGGGGGAACCTCGTATTCTTCAGCTTCAACGAGGGCATTGTCGTCGCTTAAACATTTCAAATTCAGTCGAAAAGGAGTGCGATTCGGTGCCCAAGCCTGCCCTTAATCTCGAGGGCATGGATGGCCGTTCTAGACCCAGAGGCTCGAACTTAGCTTCATGCAGGAACTGACTGGGATAGGTCAGGCCATATGGGTCATCGCGTGCGGTAAAAGTAGCCGACGGTGTGCAGCATCTCAGGTCACCTATATGCATCCAAAGGAACGTAAGACGAGAATCGTGTAAACAATGGTCCCGATACGTTCCAGCAGGAATATGGCAGATAAAATTACAGTGCAAACTAATATCATCGTCTGCAAGTTTCATCACAATCTCTTTCTGGCCATCCCAACAGTTGGAGATCGATGGCGCGGATTCCCTCGGCAATCTAGCACTGATCGAGAACGACAGAGCCACGAGGGACGACCATTACGACGCGGGGCAAGGATCGTCTCCCAATCGCGATGACAGTACCAATGTGATAGTAATGATGCTAACAGCGAAGGCAATATGACCCTCGGCAGTAACTGCCTCGCGCAGCTCCTTAACCACTCGAATCCTGTATTTCGGTCGCGATAGCATATTTAGAACACTAGTTCTATCAGAAATGACATCAAAAGGTGGGAATTCAGCCAGCCTCGCTCGTTTTCATAACCCAGTGCTTCGGGGTTACCGTCTTCATTGACAAATGAGCGAGATACATCTCGTTAGAGACAAAGGATTCATTCATATAAAGAGCAGCTTGTATCCCACGAAGTGTTTAGTTCTCAGCAGAGCTTACCTTTTACATTAACAACACAATCTTCTGTTGATATTCATCAACCTGCCCTACATCTTCAGCCATGTCTGTCACTGCTGGAACGTGGACGCTCGCAAGAACCACCAGCGAAGCGGTCGAATCCTTCTTCGGCCTACATGAAGAAGGTAATGAAGCCACCTTCGAAGATTACCGTGAGCTGGTGGACCGCAAGCACTTCGCCCCAGGGGGGAAGTATCACTGTAAGTATCCCAAACCCCTGCACACGATTCTCATCCCACTGACAGACACTAGCAATTGTCAAGCTATTCATGCGATACGAAGGCCAAGAGCCCGACGACCAGCGTCATGCCATGGGCACGGGATGGCTTGTTCGCGATGACACCCTTGTGACTGCTGGTCATTGTGCCTTTGACTGGAGCCAGAACGATGGAAAAGGGTTCGGTCGGGCGATCGAGGTTAAAGCGTACATTGGCTACAACGGCAAAAGGTCTATTATCAATGACGCCAATGTCCAGTTCCGGCACGGCGTTCAGATCGTGACTACCGAGGGATGGCTTCAATCTGGGGTGAACCGCCATCATGACGTCGCTTTTATCCGGCTCGATCGGCCCTTCACCAATGTCACCACCCTTTTCAAGCCGACTGAGACCCCCTTGGTCAGCAAGGATATCATTGGCGTAGTGGGATATCCCGGTGACATGCAGGTGGATGGAGAGTTTGGCGCACAGATGTATGAAGAATTCAAGACTGTCGAATGGGATCGGCGCAAGGCAGCGAACCAGATGCTGGAGTATCGTATCGATACATACAAAGGTGCAATGCAAAGTTGATATTATCCATTCTACCGGCTAACTCTCATCTTAGGTCAATCAGGGTCTCCAGTCCTTGTGCAGAACCGGCCTCTGACCTCCATCGGCGCTCATGTCTACGGGGGAGCTGGAAACAACTCGGCCAGCCCCATTGGAGGGGAGTATGGGAATCCATACCATGAATACATATCCGTTCTCCAGAGACAATATCCTGTACAGACGACTAAAGCCGGCGTCAAGTACGTCCGTGTGGGCGGGGACAGCATGGACAGGAAGTCGGATGCCGAGGACGGCTTCTGGGACGACCTGAAGGATGTGCTCAAAGTCGGCGCGCCAATGGTCTCGGGCGCCCTGCGGACGGTCAGTCCATTCTTGGGTCCCATCGGAGGACCGATTGCCGCTCTAGCTGGCACTACCATCTCCGTGGCTGCCAAACGGAGTGTCGAGAGTGGGTTTACTGATGCCTATCCGGGTGAATCCGCTCAGTCTCGCACGGCCGAAGAAGCCATTCTGTCCGAGGCTGCGCTGCAGGCCTTCTTGCGGGCGGATGCCGACCGTATGAAACAGCTCGGTATCAGCACGCGGATTATGAAGGAGTACAAGAAGGCAGCTGCAGATGTTGACATCGTGGCGCCTACGATCTTACCAGCCATTTTGCCGGCGGCTTTGCATCTCTCGCAAGATATGTACACCCAAAAGGGTGCAGAGGCAGATAGGGACCCATTCCATCCGACATCGTACGGTCGGCGGGAGCCAATCCGCCTCCCAAGGGATTTTCGAGATGACTCGTTCACGCACTACCTGCTCAAGTCGGTGGAGCGCGAGACGGAGGATGAGATTTTCTGGGGCATGTTGGGTTCAGTGCTGTCGGCTGCCTCCAAGGGGGCGAATGCCGTTCAAACAGGACTATCTGTCATTAGCAAGATGGTGCCGACGACTGAGGCTGCCTTTGAAGAACAGCCAATGGACCCGTACCTGAAGGTCTTGGGCCGTCGTGCCCTGCTCGCCGGGGCGACTCTGCAAGTGCTCCGCAATACGCCACCGGAGCAGCTCGAGACAGAGGACTTCTTCACCCGCATCCAATTTATCGTGCAGAAGATCGGGCCTGCGGTGATGAAGTATGCACCTGTGGTGGTCTCGGCGGTTCGTCCAGTTCTCACGCCTATTATTCAGCCTCCAGCAGGGACTACTTCTCTTGCTGGATCCTCGTCGTCGACCCAGGGCAGCAGATCTTCCTCGACAGCAGGTCAGTCGACCCTGGAGGTGCCAGGAGGAGGCGTCGGTGGGCTGAAAAAACGACCGAGTCAGACCTTCTTCGACAAGGTGATGGGCACAGCCAATGGTAAGTTTTCTGCCTTTTTCACGATGGTTAGGAATGAACTGAAAATAGAGTAGGATTTAGAGTGCAAGCTGCTCCTGCGTGAGCGTGTTTCCGAGAGCCAGGACGCGACCGAGGCTAGTGGATCCAATCAAGATGGGTTGATGTGGACCAGTATGAATGACGCTTGAAGAGTCATATAGACCTTCTGTATGTAGAGGATGGAATGCAATGCCTGTTTTTTATTCAACTCCTATCTACGATCGCAGGATATGTCAGTGCGTTGACATCACTCGCCAACAACTCATCCTTGGGCTACAAGTAGTAAAACTCTTGAAAGAGATTCGAAGGAATGTTCTACGACACTCATGGAGACGGGTATATTACGAATATATGCATTGTCTTTATCATCAATCATACAGGATCTATCTTCCTTCTGTACCATGCTAAGCCTGGAGAGATCCGAGAATGTACACATTTCGGACGCGGCTCAGCTTTTCAGGTGTACTTTTCCTCAGTCCATTATCTCCTTACAATCCACCACTGCATAACAGTCTGCTATCTACTTCCGAAAAGGCACCGGACTAGGCAAAGCAGTCGGGGTGTTGTCGCGGGACCGCGTCTGCACCAGATGCTCAAAAGATGGCGCATACTCGACCCGCGGGGTGAAAGGGTCAAAGTCCCAGAGGTAGCCCAGGGTGCGCAGGATTGACGAGGCGGAGTAGGACACGGAGTCGCCGGTGATGCTAGTGCCCTTTTGCTCGACATATCCCTTACCCACCCAGGGGGAGATCAGGAGAGTGGGGATACGACCACCCAGACGGTTGAAGTTGAAGGTATAGTCCTTGCCATTCGGGGTGGTAGCCGTGTAGGTGAGGTTATCTGGTCGGGGAGCAAGAGGCGGAGGCACATGGTCATGGAAGCCACCAGTCTCGTCAAAGCTGAGGATGAAGAGGGTCTCGTTCCACTGGGGACCGGCGCGCAGAGCGTCGTAGACGTTCTTGATCAGCTTCTCGCCGTCGGAGATCAGACCGCTGGGGTGCATAGAGTTGGTGCCGACACCGCAGCACGAGGGGTTAACGTAGCTGAATTCCGGCAGAGCACCAGCGGCGGCATCTGTGTAGAACTTCTCCAGGGCCTTGACCTTGTTGGTGTTGTTGGAGGTGTAGGTCCAGTTGTAGAACTCAGCATCGGGACCCGTGCCACCAGCCGTGTCCCAGTAGTTGATCCAGGAGTGGCCGGTCTCAGTCAGCTGCTGGAAGATGGAACGCTGGGGAAAGGCGTGGTTATCAAAGGCCTCGTCGTTGGTTCCGTGACCATACGAGGTACCCGAGGTGAGAGCAGCCCGGTTGGGGTTGGTCGGCTGGATCGGGGTTAGCAACTTGCCATTTACAGCTCACAAATGAACAGGAGATACGTACGCCAGGGACATCTGAGTGCCAGTGGTTGAAGACAACAAAGTTCTGGACGAGCTCGGTGAGCACAGGCACCTGCTGCTCAGTGTAATAGTTCATGACCTGCACGGACAGCTCGGTGCGGTTGGCATCGGCGCTGTACAGGCGCAGCTGTTCGGTGACGAACCCCTGCTGGGAGGGGGTCAGTTTGCCCTGGGCGATGGCCGCATTGTCGGGAGTGAAGGTGCCATAGAACTCGATGTTGTTGCCATAGACCGCATGGTCGGGATCATCTGTGACCGAGTCATAGTCTCTGGCTGCACTGCAGACGGTGCCCTGGGAGAGATCGGTGATGTTGTAGGGGTTGCAGAAGGGGCCGTTATTGATAGGGTTCTCCAAGCCCTTGATGGTTTGACCTCCCAGCAGGTTGTCCACGGAGCGGTTTTCCATGACCAGAACGACAACATTCTTGATCTTGGACTTGAGATTCTGGATGGCGGAGTCGGAGTGAGCCTGATGGCTGGGGTTTGCCGGGATGGCCGAGGCAGCGGCAGCAAAGGCCAGCAGACCGACCAGCGCACTGGGATGCATGGTGAGCTAGTTGGGGGTTGAGGTACAGAAGGGAGAGGCAGAATGCAATACCCTGGTGATGATACTAGCCATTGGCAAGATGGTCGAAAGGGAGCCTTCTTATAGCATCTTTAGGGTGGATATAGAGCTGTCACTCGGACAGGTTTTCTCCTCATCTCTCCCCCTGCAGGGTCTGCACGTGGTGGTGTCAAGTGGTCGAGAAACCATCTGTTCTGATTAAAAGAGTACATCTCATGAGTTAAGCGAGCCATTCGCATGGACTCCATTATCCATTATTCACCACCCCTCTTACCCATCGGCAGGAACACGAAGCACGGGTGCAGCTCCAATGGCATCGATCTGCAGGGGCACGAGGCACGGGGTCGGAGGGTATTTTGAAGGGGTCTCCCCACATCTGGAGACACAACCTATCTACTACCGAGTACTACCTTGACTGTTGAGGGTGGCCGAGGCTTGTTCTACCGTCCGTCTTCATTGCTTGCCGATGCACGATCATCGGGGATCGACAGCCCCCGTGCGTGGTCACTTTCGCATGATTGGCTGCTACCGGCCAGCCGGGATAATTAGTTGATTAGTAGTACTCCGTATGATGTGGTAGTATGTGGTGGTGTTACATGACAACATGTCAAGCAATCATGCCAGAAGAAATTTCCTTTGTGCCTGGAATCTATCGATTGGAAAAGCAGAAAGGTAGAGAGTAAGGGCACAGCCGTGGAATGAGAAAGGTCAAGAGGAATCCGGCGATCGGTAGCTTCCGGGCCGCTCCGATACAATGCACACAAAGAGCAGAACAGGAACAGGAACAGAAACAGGAAGTATGGTAAGGGTTATAGAAGTAACAATATATTTCCCAATAGAGTGTCAAGTCACAGTGAACAGCCATGACATATTATCGGATGATGAGATGGTCCTCGCATTGACACCCCAGGGGGCAAGGCCACAAGGCCATAAGGCAGCAAGGCGATAAGGCATAAGTAAGGTGATGCCTGACTGCCTGACTGCGTCGGGATATCTTAATTCGATGGCATCTTTTCACTGTATGTGGATTCTTTGATGGTGATGTGATAATCTCGTTCTAGCTGCCTCGGTAACACACACCATTTGATTCAGCCATTTCCCCATCATGAAATTAAAACTTTTTCTTTCCCGTTCTATCCTGTGTGGTCCCTTCCTCATCGCATCCGCGCACCGCATTGGGAATAGTGCCCTCACCCGGATTGTCCATCCACCTGATACCGCAGACAACAGGAGGCCCCTTATAAAATTATTGCGCAGTCGCAGACATGGCGACGGTACCATTTCAGCAGTTGGCGAGTGAACACTCCATTTGGTATCATCCACCATGACTGTGTCTCCCAACCCATCCCCTCGCGACCCCGTTCCCGGTTATGTAGTGACCCATCGCGGCAGCGTCGTGGAAAACCGACACCAAGTTCATGCCGCCGTCACCGATGCCACGGGCCGCATCATCTATGCTGTGGGCAATCCCATGCGTGTCACTCTGGCCCGCTCGGCTGCGAAACCTGCCCAAGCCCTGGCAGTTCTGGAAACCGGCGCCCTCGAACAGTTTGACTTCGATGAAGCAGATCTAGCGTTGATGTGCGCCTCCCATAGCAGTGAAGATCGCCATCTTGCCCGTGCCCGCGCCATGCTGGCCAAAGCCAACCTGACGGAAGAGGACTTGCGTTGTGGAGGTCATGCGGCCCTGTCGGAGTCTGTCAATCGAGCCTGGATCAAGCGGGACTGGACCCCGACGGCTATCGCCAACAACTGCTCAGGCAAACACGCCGGCATGCTCGCCGGTGCGAAAGCCCTGGGAGCTTCTCCTACAGAGTACCACTGCATTACTCATCCTCTCCAGCAGCAAGTCACGCACGCTGTCGAGGAGTTGGCGGGCTTGCCCTCGGATCATGTCCAATGGGCCATTGATGGCTGTAACCTGCCGGCCCCCGCGCTACCCTTGCAGCATCTAGCCGGCATCTACGCCCGCATCGCCAATGCAGCCGACGTAGCCTTTACGGATCACCCGTCTCCACGGACACAGGCGCTAGCTCGCATCTTTCGAGCGATGGCAGGCCATCCAGAACTCGTCGGGGGTGATGGTCGGTTCTGCACCGCGCTGATGCAGACCTTTGAAGGGATGTTGATTGGCAAGGTGGGAGCGGACGGTTGTTATGCTATTGGAGTGCGTGCTTCAGACTACACGCGGCAACTGGGGATTGGCGGGGCTCTGGGGATCGCGGTCAAGATTGAGGATGGCAACCGTGGGATACTTTATGCCGCCGTGGCCGAGATCTTGCACCAACTCCAGATCGGCACTCCCGCGCAGCTGCATTCGCTGGAGGCATTTCATCAACCCGAGATCCGAAACACTGCCGGCGTGGTGACGGGGCACACCTCGCACCAGTTTCAGATCAGCTCGGTATAGTCACTAGTAGGATGGAAGTTGCATATCATGGAATCATCTTTTAGTACAGACGATGAGGGATTGATCTATACCTACTATTGCCCTGGAAGGTACTACATAGAAGGAACATATTACTAGTAGAAACTACTACTACGAGTAGTAAATAATCAAATATTCTGCTTGTACTACGTATCACCTTCACGCTGACATCGATATATATTTTGGTTCGGAGATTTCGGATCATACTAGTCAAATGCGATGCTACTGCCATTAAATTGCAACAAATGTCAATCCGAGTGCGGCAAAGAGGTCTCTGATGACAGACAACAAGATAAGATGACATATTGCCTCGGTGTCATGCAGATAGCGGCTTCGAGAAGGATTCTCTGCCTTATCGCAAAGGTGAATGCTACCCTCGGGTGGACCTTCTCCGGCAGTTGGGCTTATCGGGAGGAGTCAGCACCGATATCGGGGGCCAAGCCCTTTATCAATCATCATTCTATCAGTTTCCGTCCACTAGTCTATGGACCCTGAATTCCTTCTAGCTGGATAGACTAGTAATCTTCCCATGTCAACTCCATGTGGAGAAACTTTGATAAGACCATGTGGAGGAGATAGCATGCCTCCACAGAACAAGACCATCTTCAACTGCAATCACGGCTGGATTCCGATTAGACCCGCGTCCCAGCACAAACATGATGGGGTATAAAATGCTGCAGCCAGGCAAGATGAACTGTAGAAGAAGCCAGAAACCATCATCTCATCAGTCTGCATCATGCCTCTCAAGCCCTTTCTCTTTTCCGCTCTGGCCACTCTCGCCTCGGCCTCTCCGCTGCTCTATACACGGACGACCAATGAGACTTTCGTCTTCACCAATGCCAATGGCCTCAACTTCACCCAGATGAACACCACCCTGCCCAATGTGACCATTTTCGCAACGGGTAGGTGCACTGAGTTCGATTCAGGGATTGCGACCGACAGCTAACCTCAGCTCACAGGTGGTACCATTGCCGGCTCTGACTCCAGCTCAACAGCCACGACCGGCTACACCTCCGGAGCAGTCGGTGTCCTGTCCCTCATCGATGCAGTCCCGTCCATGCTGGATGTGGCCAATGTTGCCGGTGTGCAGGTGGCCAACGTGGGAAGCGAGGATATCACCTCCGACATCTTGATTTCCATGTCCAAGAAGCTGAACCGCGTCGTGTGCGAGGACCCGACCATGGCCGGCGCCGTCATCACCCACGGCACCGATACCCTCGAAGAAACTGCCTTCTTCCTGGACGCCACCGTCAACTGCGGCAAGCCGATTGTCATTGTGGGTGCTATGCGCCCGTCCACGGCCATTTCGGCTGACGGACCCTTCAACCTCCTCGAAGCTGTGACGGTGGCTGCCTCTGCTTCGGCGCGCGATCGCGGTGCCATGGTCGTGATGAACGATCGCATTGCCTCGGCCTACTACGTGACCAAAACTAATGCTAACACCATGGACACCTTCAAGGCCATGGAGATGGGCTATCTCGGCGAGATGATCTCGAACACCCCTTTCTTCTTCTATCCGCCCGTCAAGCCAACCGGCAAGGTGACCTTTGATATTGCCAACGTGACGGAGATCCCCCGCGTGGACATCCTGTTCTCCTATGAGGACATGCACAACGACACCCTGTACAATGCCATTTCCAGTGGTGCCCAGGGTATTGTGGTAAGTGATTTTGCTTCGATCTGTCTTTGTAGCTTGAATTAGATGCTGATGAGACTAGGTTGCTGGTGCCGGTGCTGGAGGCGTCACAACCTCCTTCAACGAGGCCATCGAGGACGTCATCAACCGTCTGGAGATCCCCGTCGTGCAGAGTATGCGCACTGTCAACGGGGAAGTGCCACTGTCGGACGTGAGCAGCGACACGGCTACCCACATCGCCAGTGGATATCTGAACCCGCAGAAGTCGCGCATTCTGCTGGGATTGCTGCTATCTCAGGGAAAGAATATCACCGAGATTGCGGATGTCTTTGCTTTGGGCACGGATGCGTAGGCATCAATGGGGACGTTGTATATAATGATGACCACATGTAATGATCATGATAGATTGCAATAGAAAGTGACTGTATGTATATTAGCAAAGGACACCAAGCATTTCCCCCAGAGCTCGTAAACAACTCTATCTTACCGAAGACGACACTTGATCTCTTATCTCTTCGCCCCCTCGTATTCAGGGCGTCGGGCATGCAGGGTGCATTGCGTTCGAAGGATCCGAAGACGAAGTGACACGAGCCAAAGGCTGATCCTTGCATACCGTAGGGCACCTCATGTTCATTGCCGGTGGTTGTTTGAGTCGAGCAAGGGGTCAGGTAGGGCCCGGCCTTGTGGTATCCCGTGGGACAAACAGATGGTAGCCCACCTACCGACGAGAGGGTCTCATGTCATCATTTTACCAACCACAGAAGGGATTGGCTTGGATCTTTACTATCTACTTCCATCTTCATCACACGTACCACGCGAAGACTATCCAGAGATTTCTTATTTGTTGACCTAGACCGTAATCTTGTTCCAGGGAATAAGCGTGAAGCATAAGTGGTATACGCCAAGCCTTAGAAATGAAGTAAGCTGGGATCTTACTTTGGGTGTAGATAGAGGGGTTAGGTGGTATCTGGGCAACTAGTGTGTTGTTCTGCTTACAACCCATGCGAGGCAAATCACTGGGGAGTACAGAGAATACACGATCAGGCGTGACAGAATATAAAGCGCGATGATCGTCCGCGGACCTGGTGGGGGCGAAGACCCTTAGTTGATTAGTATGATTCGCGGAACTCCCGGGGTCTTCACGGTTTTAAATAATGCGGGATCGGATCCTCTCAGCCTCGTTTATGCAAGTGAGATTTTGAAGTGCTCTCTTGCACCTTAGCTCTCTGACACTCCTATTCTTTGCTTACTTGCGATAGATTCTATAGGCTAATTGAAAACCCCTTAGCTCGGGGTGGGCTGTTTGATTGTGGCACGAGGTCTCGTCAAGTAATCGTAGCCTGATGATAGAGGCCGCTGATGATGATATAGGGCAAACTATATAAAGAACGCAGAATTATCCTTGTTCGATCATCACACAGGTCTGTCAATTAGATATATTTGGGAATCAGCTGAAGCCCATCGTCGACAATTGTCCTCCGAAGATTCTGCCACTGCACCATGGAGCCAGGCAAGACCGGGTTTCGCACGGTCGCAGAACCGCATCCAACACATCTAGTCGAGGGAGGGGTATGTCTAACTATCCATCTATTGTGCAAATCAAGAGTGACTGATCCACTATTGTGGAACTGCAGAATCTAAATCAGAAGGTGACTGTGGATGACCTTCGTCGCGCAGTGCCCGACTACTGCTTCACGCCGTCCCTGTTCTGGTCTTGCTTCTACCTGTTGCGAGACCTGGCATACGCGGGAATCCTACTGACCGCACTGTACCAGCTGCTACAAACCAGCGCAGTGCAAAATTCGTCACTGCTCTACTACGTTACGGTCAATGTATATGGAGTATGTCAAGGCATTGTTTGGACGGGACTCTGGGTGATTGCACACGACTGTGGCCACAGCGGCTTCTCACGCTGGAGTGTGGTGAATGACAGCGTCGGATTCGTCTTGCACTCCTTTCTCCTCGCCCCCTACTTCTCCTGGAAATCAACTCATCGGCGACACCATATCTATGCCAATCATATTGAAAAGGACCTAAACTATGTGCCGCCTCTGCGCCAGTCCTACGCCGACAAAATCGGCCAGGCGGTCGAGGTTCTCGAGGATATAGGACAGGATGCGCCCTTCGTCCTTTTCCTTCGCATTTTGCTGCAGCAGACCATCGGCTGGAACTGGTATATCCTAACCAACATCACCTGCCCTCCTACAGCTGTTCCCAAGAAAGGTATGTCGATTTGGCGTCACAGCCATTTCGATCCCCAAGGGGCACTGTTCTATCCCTCCGAATGGCTGTCCATTGTGCTGTCGGATGTGGGCTGCTTCATTGTGATCGCCGGCCTTTATCAGCTTTATCAGCAGTTTGGTTCGTTCGAGACGCTGTTTTGGGTTTATATTGTGCCGTGGACATGGGTGAACCACTGGGTCGGTATGTGCAACTCTCCCCTTTCCCTGACAAATGAGGTTATCTGACGATATCTGTGTGAGTGTTTAGTGATGATCACGTATCTGCATCATACCCACCCATCGGTGCCCAAATACACCCCTGAATCGTGGAGCTTCCTGCGTGGCGCAACCGCGACCATGGACCGCGACTTTGGCATCATTGGGACGCATTTCTTCCATCATATCTCAACCGACCACGTCACTCATCACTTATTCTCACGCATCCCACACTATTATAGCCCTGTAGCTAGCAAGGCAATCATCCCGCTACTGGGGCAACACTACCACGGACGGGGTGCATTCAATTACCAGGAGCTGCAGACGGCCTTCAGTCGGTGCCAGTGGGTGGAGGAGGACCCTGGAAAGGACGTAGCCTTTGGTTTACGGGCAGTGGAGACGTTAAACAACAAGGACGCGAAGAACACAGGGTTGTGGTATCGTGGGGGACGCAGCCCCTTGCCGGAGTTTAAGATGCGCGAAGCCAAATCATTCTAAGGACCAAGGCGCAGAATCCATGGTAGTGAACTTTGGAAGGAACCTAGACCGGTTGAATTCACTGCGATTGTTGGGGCTGCTGCCTAAGACGCCTCTGTCATGATTGCCTGCCTCATGTCTTCCCTTGTAATAAATGCCTGCCATTGCCGACACATAGCACTACTAATGACTTTATGGTCATCACCTTGAACCAAACATTATCAGCCAATACGTACCAATCTAAAGCGAATTCACGATGGGGTAAGTCCACTGCACCGACAGATCCCAGCCGGAGTCTGACATTGGACAGATACACCCACTACTACGGCGTCCGTGACACTCACAGCACAGAGTGGGTCACCGCATGGCCGCAGCTCGTGCAGGATGCTAAGCGTGTGGTCGACGCGACTGATGTTCCCTTGTCCGGTCCA